CTGACAGAAGATTGGAAAGAGGAGTACAATCCTAGGAACTATATTCAAGAGAGCTAGTATAAAAATCTTCTCGAACCAATCTTACAAGAAGAATTATATAAAATACTCAAGATGTTTTCTAATAACAAGGCTCCAGGCAAATCTCAGATTAGTTATGAGATGTTAAAGAGATTAAGCCAGGATAGAAAAAAATACTCGAGGAAAATGCTTAACAACTTCTTGAAATGGGAAGTTACTCCTATATCCTGGAGACAAAGTCATATACAGTATATCCCATAGTCAAGCCAAAACCTTGGGATTGTGAACTTTTAAATATAAGACCTATCATATTATTGGAGGTTTCTAAAAAGTGTTTTACCAAAGTTCTGACTAACAGAATGGGGAATATTTATAAGATCAATAATATCCTTAGAGGACCTAACTATATAGGGTTACCAGAAAAAAATATGGCTGAACCAATCCAAATTTTAAATAATATCTGCGAAGATGTGAGAGAAACTAAAAAAGAGCTGTGGATATTGTTTCAAGATACAGCCAAAGCTTATGACACTATTAGTCTGAATATGCTAGTAAAAGCGATAGAAAGAATCAAGGCACCAAAAGGTTTTATTAAGATTATAATGAGTCTTTTCAAAAACAGAGAATTCAAAGTCATATTTGAAGATAATCTTATCAATCCTATAAAAGCAAGGGATGGAATCAATTAAGGAGAGATTATTTCATCATTAATGTGGAGAATCTTCTATGACCCTTTACTATGCAAAATTCAAAATGACACAAATAGAGATATAAAATATCCATTACTTGGAATTCACACTTTAATATTCACAAAGTTGAAAAGTTAGAATCAAAACATGTCATGATAGCCTTTATAGATAATACAACATGGATAGCAAGATCCAAGGAAGATATGGAAAAGATCTTGGAAACAACAAGAATCTTCTATAGGGCCAATGACTCTCAAATCAATAGTAACAAATCAGTTCTAGTTACTATTAACAATTCTAACTGTTATCCAAAAGAAGTCCAGGCAAGCATTAAAAAAGAAGTTGTCAAAGAGCTTGACAGAGCAAATCAAGCAAGATTTTTAGAAATTTGGATGGGTAACCAAAAGACCTCGATTGAACTAAAAGAAAGAGTACTCAAAAAAATTTATGTAATTGCTAGAGCTCTCAAAAATAAAAAGGTGATGGATAAGCAGGCACTCTATATTTTAAATAGAGTATTAATACCAAGGATAGAATTAAGAATGTAGCATAACATATTGTCCTGAAAAATATGTAACATATTAACAGCAGCATATAGAAAGTTCTTTAAACACAAGAGTTTATTATGCAGATCTATTCCCAACAACATAATACATTATCCAAAGATCCACAATTTGAAAAGCATCTGGATGCTACAAAAAGAAAGTAAGATAATAGGATTGTGCAATAGATTGAATAATATTAAATCAACAAAAATCACAACAATTATAAGGCTCAAACAAGTACAAATCAAATATTGGGAACCACTCAACCTGTTGATTTGTGACTCACTAGACCATCTTATAGACAAAGGTAACTTTTTGCTTCAAGTAATTAAGTTAGCTAGAAATATGGGAATTACCTTTCAAAGTTAGAAATGGTACGATATCTTTGAATAGGAAAAAGGAAATAGTCTGATTCAAGAATATCTCTTACCTGAGGAGTATAATAAAGCCATATCATCACTAAGAAACAATAGATTGATGTATATAGATCAGCTTATTGACTATGAAGTAAATGAAGTAAGAAATTGGCACATACTCCAACTCATCCAAAAAATTGACAAAGGTTCTATTCTAGAATGGTTCTTAAATATAAGTAGAATGTTCCCCAAAGATCATTTAAATTAACTTATAGAAATATGAAAAATAGATTGATTAAAATAGGAGTCAACATATTCTATAGTCAGCCCTAACTGTAACAAGAGACAAAAAATATGGATAATTAAAAAGAATATTAATCACCAACTAATATAGGGAAAGCTACTACAAAAAGAACCTAAGAAAAAAGCAAAGATCGAACACTACAAGTGCTAGAATAGTAAAAATGATCAAGAGACAAAGTTAATCTAATGCATGGGTTGCTCAGAAAGTTTTATTCAAGAAAAAGTTACATAATGAAAAAAGATATGGAAAAGATATATATGATACCATATCTTAATACAAGAAAAAGTATTAGGAGAGCCCAGATGTTAACAATCCCATGTTCCACAATATCTTTGGAAAAAGCAATTAGGAAAACAATAGATAGTAATCAAATATTTGTATAGAGTCTGCAAAAGCCAATCCAGCAGTTCACTTCCCAAAGTATCAAGATGGATTACATAAATATAGAAAGTTGGGAAGAAGCAATCATTAAAGAAAATATTAAAGAAGGAGTATATCAGGACCACCTAATAAAGATACTTTAACGTAATCTAGGATCCAAACAAAAGTTAACATTCTATTTAGATGGATCACTAATAAATCATGGCAGTGACAATATAAAGATAGGAGCAGTAGGGATCCAAATAAGCGATATAGGAAAAGAAAGTAGATTTCAAACAGGGATAGACAGTTGGCCCTCATTTATACATACAGAACTAATGGCAATAGTCACAATACTCCTAGTAGTTCCAGTAGGTAGTTCAATTGAAATCTTTACAGATAGTCAAGTCTGTATCTCAAAGTGAAAAATAATTGAGAAAGATGATCCAAAAAAAATACATAAAAGATGGTTAAAAGATAAAAACTGGTCACTATGGACATGAATGGTAGAGCTGGTTAAGAAAAAAGATTTAGATTTGAAGCTTATCAAGGTCAAGACACATTCTCGAGACTCTTATAATGATGAAACAGATGCCCTAGCCAAAGATGCTCTTAAACTTTCAGCAATAGAATGGAAAAATCTCACCTCATACAAAATCCCTACAAAAATAAAGTGGCAGAACAAAACTTTGAATGATTCCATAAGACAATTTATCAAGAAAATGAATAATAAGACTATAGCATATCAGTGGACATTATAAAATAGAACAGAAAAGAAATAGAGCCACCAAATTCAAGAACAACAAGGCCATACATGGAATCTAGTATAGGAGAGAATGAATAGTTATATGTGAAATACATCTTTCAAAGATTGTCAAAGAAAGAGCTTTCTGATCAAGTTAATGAATGATAAGCTATCAATACTGAGTAAACTGACAATAAGAAGGCCAGACCTATACAAGCAAGTGAAATGTACTGCGTGTGATCTTCAGGAAGAAGAAACAATTAATCACTTGCTAGAATGCCCAGCATATAAGGAACAGATGAAAAAGATATGGAACAAAGGTTTTGAAGGAGTTTTGATATATTTCAGAAAACTTTTACAGGAAAGGAAAAAGGAAGCAGAAGAGAAGAATACTAGATTAATAATAAATAACAGTAAAGAAATAGATAAAGTAGACAAGTGGACTTCCAGGCTAGTGGAACAGTTCTCAGCAACTAGTTAGGATATGCTAAGTTTCTTTGTAGGATTAATAAAACATGAACTTATCCTTGAAATAACAGACCTTAAATACCATAGTAAAAGAATTGGAAAAAAAGCAAGAAGATGGATCAAGAAGCTATAAGGTATAACTTGTAACCAGTTCCAGAAGAAGGTTTGGAATGCAAGATATAAAAGGATGATATAATGGGAAAGATTACAAGGAATTCAAAAAAAGGATAAGATAAAAAGACCCCCTAATCTCCTAGGCATCAAAACCATATAACTGGAAAGGAAAACTCTGATATTAGGGGAAGGAAGATTAGAAGATAAAAATCTAAAAGATATTTTATTAAGAGAAGTTAACTTTGGGATGAGATGGTTGGGTTTTGAGTAATGTCAGAACTTAAAGAATGTTCTGCAGTAGTGATCTGCAAGCAATAATATTAAGAGTTGAAAGAGTTTTCACCTGAACTCCTAATGGAGCAATAATCACTTCCAAAGTTGCATTTAGAGTAGTAATTACAAAGATAAGTAAGCTAATTAGTGTTTTTTAGCTTTAGCAATTCATACTATATGTACAGTTTACAAATGTTTAATAAAGTACATATAACTAGCTTGACAGAGGATTAAAAAAAAAAAAAAAAAAATTATATTTAATTGAAATTAAAAAAATTTTTATGTTATAAAAATATCATTATTTTAATATTTTTAAGATATACAAATTAATTTATTTAAATTTTATTTTTATAAAAATTTATTTTTAATTTTTTTAATTTTTTAATTTCATATAAATTAAATCGTATTAGCAAACTTTAATATATGGGATTTTTAATTTCAAAAAAGTTGATCCAAATAAATTACTTGCAATGATTTTTTTTAAAAATATTTAAATATAATCAATAAAAGTCAAATTTATATATTGTACCAAGTATTTCTTTAAAATATTACTTTTTAATTTAAATTATTAATCAAGTTTGCCTACTTGCTATTGCAAATTTGATATAAAAAATTGATAAAATAATAAACAAAATATTAATAAAAAAAAAATTTGTTTTTTTAATAATTATAAATTATTTCCTGTATCATTACATTAATACCTTTACTATTGATTTTATAATAAATTTAATTCGTACGCTATATATAATTACAAATTTTAATTTATAAATAAATTTACATAATTAAAATATTTTCAAACTAAGATGAAATAATTTTTAAAAAAAATTCTCCGGGCTAGTACTTAAAATACATTAAAGAATATCTTGAAGATAATAAAAATAATAAATATATAAATAATTGTTAGTCTAAAAAATACAGATTCATGCTAGATCTTGATTTTAAATGCGTCGGAATACGTGAATTTCTATTCGATGAATGTTGTCGATAGTTTCATAACCCTTCTATATACTATTTGTTAGAGAACCAATAGACTCTACTACCTCTGAAAAGATTAATGATTTTCTATTTATAATTATGTGAAAAAAAAAAAAAAAAAAAGGAAAAAAATCATTCTCTTTCTTCGGTTACCACGGAGGGGTGCAAAAGTGTACTATTAACGCGAATGTGTTGTATACCGCTAGCTCCACGATGATGAGAGGCGTTACTAGCTCCCCTAACATGACCACTACTTTGGACCACAACTTCAACTTGTAAGTCCATAAAAACTTTTGACACAGGTCTTGATCGAGTTTTCTTGAGTCCCGATCTTAAATCTCGGATTGTATCATCAAAATCACACTTTCCTGATATTGAAGATGCTGATGTTATACTTGATGTATCTGATGGTCTTCGTGATGACTACATGTGACAAAAGTATTAGCCACATGAATAAAAATATCTGTATTCATTAAATTTTCATAATTATAATAATAAAATCTAATTACCGTACGGGACTGAAGACTATTTTCTTTTTGCCTCTCTTTTTCTGCCCTTTTCCTCGCCTTTTCGTTCTCGTGCCTCGCTACCTGTTAATATCAGGGTATCCGTAAATAGAACTGGAATGAATAATCAAAGCGGGACAATACCTACAGCCAATGATTTGCCGAAAGAAAGAATCATTCCAAAGAAGTCTTCCGGTTTCGTCGTCGTCGGATCTTCTCCATAATAAATTAACAGTTGTTTCAACTCTTCTTCTAGTTTCGCTGTAAATTCTTTTAGGCTTTCAATGGTCGGCTCGAATTTTTTAATAAAGTCCTGTTTTGAGTGACTTGATGTTAAAACGTCCATTGCGAATTTAAGTAGTAGAATTCTGATACATATGCATCTATACCTCCATTACTTCACAAAAATTGTCATTTTCCTGAGACGACTTGAGATTTTTCAATACTTTTATTTCTTCCTTTATTGATTCCATTCCGCTTACTAACGATGCGACAGAGCCCACTACAGCAGCCACGGATACTCGCGCGGCGGCCTCAAGATGTTTTAGCTCGTCCATAAATGATAATAAATCTTTTTGTAAATCTTCTAACGTCAATGCTAAATAATGAAGCAGAGTCGCGGTTCCCTTGGAATTGTTATCCGATGCTTTAGTTTCTTGGATCTAAATTTGATTCGAATTCTAACTTTTTAAAACACACGATCGGATTTTAACGGAAGAGACTTTAAGTTAAATAAAAGACTGTACCTTCAAAAGACAATCCATTTGAAATCCCACAGCATTTCCCCGAAATGTTGAGCCATTTAGATAGTTGCCTATCGCTAATATTGTCTATTCGGATAGTTGAAATTAATCAGAAAATCACATCATTACATATATAATCATAAATTAACAAAGATTAAGCAATCTACCTTCAGTAATCTCTTGAACTTGACTGATTCTTTAAGCTCAATATAAACTTCGTGCAATACCTCCATTTCCTTCAAATGACATTGAATAAACTTCTCATCAGTATATTTTGCAGATAATTATCATCTCATGTCATACATAGTCGTGGCTATCGAAATTAATAAATTTTTACCGGCTTCAACTCTTCAATTTCCATCTCAAATCTTCGCCGATATATCATACACTCCAACCTCTCTGATAATCTGGGTATACCCATTATTTCTTTAAAATATCTTTCAGCGTTGCCCAACATCGTAAAGTCCCCATCATATTCCCTTACCAATTCAATTTCATCAGAATTTGGTGCATAATTCTTTAAGCTACGCAAATTATCCACCGTCAGCTTTTCATCATCGATTTCCAATATCGAATCCTTTATCTCCTTGTAGGTCAATTTGATACGGGCTAACATTATTGCTATATTATTTGCTCGATTAAAATCAAGCAATGTTGTAACCGCTGTCTTTTTTGAAGAGGTGGGTGATGTAGGCGATTTGACGCTTGAAAGTACCTGATTTTTGGGGAATAATGTTTCAAGTTCTTCAAGTTTCAGAGGAACTTCATCGACTGGTATTCTTTATTTGTTCATTTATATTTTGGCTTTTCAAAAAGGTAATATACTCATTTTATAGGAATTTATCTATGTTTAGGTTACTACCTTGTCCTAAAGCTTCATCTGAATCTATGGTTCGTATTTTGCTCTTGTTATAAATCTTATTTGAGGGAGAACTGGATTCTTTCTTCCCATATTTATCTTGATCAACTGGTATAACATTTTAGGAGTGGTCAGCCCATCTTGACCTTTCTTTTCTTTGTCGGTTGAATCTTGATTTGCTTTCGAGCTTGGCAATTCTTCCATTCAGTTTTTTCAGATTTGTCAATATAAGCTTTAGTGGATCTTGCTTATCATCAAACTCTGGTTCATTGTATTGTCTCCTGTTTTGATTTTCTGTGGGCTTCTAGGGTTTTCCAATAGTACTCTATTACTTCTTGTTGCTGGGTGACCTATGGTTCTATGATATCTTTATGGAGTGTTATCATTCTGATCTTGATATTTTTTCCTGGGATTAGTTGATCACTTATATTCAATAGTTGTATTAGAGCTTATTGATTCACTGTCTGATGGTAAATCTGATATGGGTTCAGTATTTGTTTCTATTGTTCTATACCCCAGCCTTCTTCTTAATTTTTCAATTCTAGGTTTAGAACCCCTTATGATTTCTTCTATGGCTTTTATGCTCCAGGATAGTCTTAGTCTCTGCAAGAAAATATATTGCTTACAAGCTTTTGTCAGTGCTTCTTTTGTTGCAAAATATACTACAGTAAAGTTTTGTTTTTTTAAAGTAGGAGGGTTTTTTGGTGTATAACAAGCCTTAGCTTCTATACTATTAAGTGTCCTGACTATCAAGCTTGAGAATATTCTATTTGTGCCTAAGAGCCTGGCTGAGTGTTTGTTTTATTCAATCAATATCTCATTTATTTCTTTATCAGTCAGTTCTTCTTTAGTGAAGATTGTTCTTGTTATTTCTATTCCAAGCAGTGTCATCTATATTTCTTCAGAATTGATTTTGAAGTGTTTATGTCACTTGAGATAGGCCTTTACTTTGATCTTTGTTTTTACCTTATAGATATTGATGTTTTTAACATCCCCATATCTTTTTAGATATTCTTTTATATAGCTTTTGAAGAGTTTATGATTCACATTTACTAGACTTACATACAATATATCTCTGCATTCTTCTGAATTGTGGATTCAAAATATCTTTTTTTCTATTTTGTCTTTAGCTGATTGATCTATATGCTTTTCTTTTCCTGGTTCTAGTCATTGGAGACGGAAGGCTTCTTTCTTTCTATTTATCTCTTCTAAACATTTAGGAAGATCTTCTTCTTTTTTGAAGTAAAGAATCAGCCATTCATTGCCATTAATGAAACTTTTATGAAAAGATTTCGTTTATCCTGAGATAGTTTTAAGGCATTACACAGATAGGCTTTAGATTCCTTTTCTGAGCTTCCTAAAATGTTTTTTACTTATGTAGTATGGATTTGGGATGGAATTTACAGTTCTGTTTCTTGTACTATATGAGTTACATTCACTTATATTTTGATCTTTGATCTTTTCTCTCAGTATTTTGAGTTTTATTTTCTCTTCTATCTTTCTTGTTCTTGAACATTAAACATTGTGATCTCATTGTCTACTGTTAAATCATTTTTTACCTGGGTGATGATCTCCATGGAAAGGGTTTTTATGTTTTTTGATATATTATTTTCTTTTTTGATTATTTCAAGAAGTTTATTTTTGATATATAG